TGTATTGCCGGGCACTACTGAGCCCCCCCACCACGACAAGGTAAACGCACGTTTGGGGTTCCATGCATGCATGCACAATCTTTACAGTTTACACCGTTCCGATTGGCTTGTTTTATAATAACAGAGAGTTTACGGTTACGGTATTCAGAAACGGATTTCGTATACGGCTGCCAGAGGCATATACAAACATAATATGGTTGTATTCACACCATACAGCAAAACCTGATATGGTAAAAACCCCGACTCGTTTATTCGGCAAACCGTATACAATAACCAGCCCGGATCCGCTTCGTGTGTACGAAATAAATTACATATCACAAAACGTATACGATTTACCGGTTAAAATTATTTAGTATGACTGTAAAGGTGTAAAACGCTCTAACCCACCGACAACAGACAAAGAATTATACAAAGAATACATATATTAATAAACAATAATTAATTAATACTTTCTAGGAGAAAGGTGCCCGAGTAGGGAAAGTGCTATGAAAGGGACTAGTTCAGAATGGGTCAAATTAAATTTACGCCACTAGAAAACAAGTAGTAGATTTTTGTTTTCTGCATTCTACCAACATTTACTCCGTAATAATATCATTTGGTTTTCAAAATAAAGAAAATGGCGAAGCGTGGTTTAATTATTTTGTGAGTAAATAAAGTATTTTATTCATTGTTTGGGAAGTTTATTTATTAGATATATAAATATTATTTAACAGATATTGTATTGCTAACTGACCAATGGTTTACCTACTTAATAGGTGAGTGCACACTGCACAATAATACCAAATAAAATCACCAAAAAATTTTTTGCTGTAAGGATACTTTTTAAAATAGTATGAAAGTCTTGTTTTGGACGACTAAATTTTATTAAAAATATTAAAATTACTTCAAAGGGTTGTTATTTGACTTGAAAGGAAGACTCGGGTTACATATAATGTGTTTTTATTATACATTTTATTTTCGCCTATTGTAAAAGCATTTTATAATATGTTATATTTTTTATAATATAAAATAGGTACCTTATACATCGATGTTACTCCCATATAATTTTCAAGGAAGAATTCCAACTTCAACGGAATTATTTAGTTTTAAAGTGACTTTGCAGTTAACGAACTTAATCAAGTGATTATTAATAGATATTAATAATTTAACAAAATAAATGTTCCATCTACGCCTTAATTCTATTAGATGTGTGTGTATTAAGCCTTTTTTTAACGTCCCACTGCTGGGCACGGGCCTCCCTTCAATACGAGGGGGATCAGAACATAGTCCACCACGTTGGCCAAGTTCGGGTTGGCGGACTTCACATGTCTTTCGCAAACTTTCTCTCAGACATGCAGGTTTCCTCACGATGTTTTCCTTCACGGTAAGGCAAATGGTAATCATGTCAGAAATTATTCGCACATGAACATATCACAGGTGCGAGACCCGGGATTTGAACCCGCTTCACTCGGTTTCACAAATGAACGCGTTACCATTAGGCTACCACTGGCATTTTATTAGATAAAACTGATAAACCAAATATTGTCGCATTTGGCAAAATATCGGCATTTCAAGTGTTACGGTTTGGTTTATTTGTAAAATGAAGTTTGAAACAGATATCGAAAGGGTAAAGTTTGGCGCTCACTTCGGATTTGAAAGGCCATACTATTGGACTTCTAATCTTAAAGAAACTTTTCCAAGTTGCAAGGAGGGGAAGACACGCTTGGGCGAAATAATGAAAAGAATGCAATCTCATTTAAAAGTTATATATTCGCTCGTACTACCCTTGTTAAAATGTATCTACGATTTGGTAAAAAGTAAATTTATTTTTTATACTTTGTGCTCCTACATTTTTTAATCTAAAATCTTAATGAAATAAGTGTTTAATATAAATAAATTAATATATAAATTGTTATATAATATCCTATTATTTTAAAGTCAAAATTAATTCTAATACTTTTCAACTTCCAAGGTCTTTTAAAAATAACAATACACTAGCGATCCACCGCGTTTTAATCAATTTTTTACGATTGTGAAATTATTAATGTTTATTGATTACAATAGTTTAACCATAGGGTGGTTAATATAGTTAATGTTTTAAATAATATAAATAATAAAAAAAATATTATAAATAATAATATTTTGTTAACATCAGATTTTAAAATTACTTATGAACAGAATACATTAAAAGGTCAATTAACAATTTTGATCATGCATAAAAAATGAACAATTAATTGTACCTTTCTTTGCAAACCGGATGGAAAATATTTTATAAAATAAGCGTTGAGTTAAATTAATGTAAAATATATCTTTATCAAACCGTCGCGTATATCATGTTGTGAAAATTATATTTACAGATCCAATTTATGAAGCGTGAACTTTAAACAGAAGCTCACTGTTTATGGTTTTGGCATACATTATGAAATCTACACGATGTGCTACTATTTTATCACCATATTTCCGAGTTTCCCTTTCTCCGGGTCTCACATTTCTGATATTTTCATGTGCACATCTCACCATCATTTTTAACATAATAACCACTTGCAGTACAATAAAGAAAAACATCGTGAGCAAACTTGCATATCTGAGAGATCAGAGAACCTAAATAGTTTTCGTAAGACATGTAACGTCCGCCAACACATTTAATTGGCCTGCGTGACAGTCTAGTATGGCCTCACCCCTTCTCGCAACTGCTATTCTTTTCCCCTTAGGTACATCGACAAAAACCCTGATCAATGTTTATGCTTAAGTACAAAGAATGTATATAAAGGTATATAATAGGACTGTACATAAGGATATGTATATAAAGGAAAGTTTTGGCTGGTGAATAATTTATTGGGAGGAGTTTGTCCTTTTCAATACGAAAAGATATCGATTACTTCTGTTGTTCACGACAGTCTAAGTAAAAATATATATTAGATCGTTTTTTTCGTTTAAATGTCATACAAAGATATTTTTTTCAATAAGTGTAGGTTAAATTTAATAAGTGTAGGGTTTGTTTAACCTAGATAAATCTATGGCTATTGTAATTTTAGGTGCAAATTATTTATTTTCACATTGATAAAATGGTTGAAATAATATTTTTAAGTCTAAATTAGAGCGAGTCTGATACATTGGCACTTTTGACACTAGTAGTGTCCGCCTAACCGATATCGGCTACGAAGAACTATCTCGCTTAAAGTTGAAAGAAACCCACCTGTGCAAGAGATATTATAGTGCACATGCGTGCAACTTAGACTCCGTGGGTTTATTTAAAAAAATATTTATTGAAATTTTTAATGAAATTTGGCATTTAAACAGAATAATATTATACAGCCTGAATCATTTGCATATAAATAATAATATAATATACATATGTATGTATAAATCTATTCTACAATATGTAATAACTACGGCTATTTTATACTGAGAGGATTACTTTTAAAATATCTTATTAAATTTTGACAATTAGAAAAATTTATTATCAAAAAATATTCGAAGACAAGAAAACAAAATTCGATACTACCGGAAAATATCAGGCGCAGCTTTACGTGCTCTTTGAGGCTTGGGGGTTAAACGGGTTGTTACCGAGAATTTCTTGACAAAAAAAAACAAATAACTATTCATGGACCGACCCGTGACTCGAACTAAGTACCTCTGTATCTGCAGTAGTACAGCTAGAAGCACCAGACACTAGGTTTATCTACATATAAATAAAAATCATGTCATGATATAATAAGAAGATGAAAGATATACATAACGTGTAAATTTTCCAAATTACTTGCTTCGGTTTTTGCTACAAAACATATTTTATGCGTATAAAGTAAATTGTATCTTTAATATATATTAATTAAATTGTTTTATTCGTTGTCAGCGAGTTAGTTACTTAAAACATACTATAGAAGTAACAGAGCAACGTCTTTGATCTCATAGTGGGTAAATGCCAGTAAGGTCTAGCAAGAATCACAAGGGTTGTCCTAAGTAAACAATGTTTAGTAACTATTTTATTATTCACTGAAATAAATTTTAAGCCGTTCTCATGAATTTTAAAATATTTTTCTTTACTTTATGTCATTTTAGTAAGCACAGTTTGAGAAACTTCGAAACATTTGTAGTGGGGCTTGATTGAAACTGTGTTGTCGCACATACAAATATACTATTGAAAATATTTGATTTAAAAAAAATGAATTTTGGATTGCCAAGGATTTTCTTGTATAACGTCTAATCAATACATTTTTATATAAAAATTTGAAAACAAATTCAAGGAAAGAAAGAAAATCAGATACCTGCATGTCAGCTTTAAATGTTATGCCTTGAGTAACATACATCATACAACTACGAGAACATATAACGTTGCATGAAGTCCGTCCCATTTGCATCACATGACTAAAAATCTTATATACATATATGCTTATACTCATGTGCTTGCGGACCGCCTTTCCCACTTTGCACCGTTACTCTATTTAAAACTATTCTTCGTCCGACCATGTAGATACTAACTAGATTACTAACCAACCTGTTTATTAATGAATACCAATATTGAACCCCACTTTTCCCATAAGATGTTAAATTTTGTATAGCGCCAAAATAAGTATTTTACTGTCACTATTCTCTAATACGAGTAAGTATCTATTTACGTAGCACGTAGTCTAGGAATATTAAATACTAAGCTTGCACTCACTTAATTGGATTTCTAGGTTCTTTTTGTATTTATAATACTATAAGTGGGCAACGCCACCTTTTGCTAAAGTTTGTCACCAACTTTCAACTATGTGTACTTTTCATCAAAATCCGTCCAGCCGTTTAGCGTAAAGGAGTAACAAACTTACAAAGATACAAACTTTCGCATTTATAATATTAGTTGTAGTAAGTAGTACGATTACTAAATTATTATCTTATTTTCAGGTAACTGAAAAGAAAATAAAGAGAACACTTCGTAATCGCAAGGAGACTCGTCATTAATTTCCTAGTGACTGTGAGAAGAACGTCAGCACCGATGAAGCTTGTCAATCATGAGTGCTTGGTGCTCCATCGTGATCATAATGTGCACGATCAGCACTGGAGTTCTTTCTCCGGCACCAATGAATGCTGAAGTAAAAGAAGCATACGGTAATTATAAAACAATATTTTAATACATTACAGTTCGGTGAAGGTCTCTAAGAAACTGTCTGTGAGAACCTAGCAAATTTTCGAAAGACATGTGAAGTCCGTTGACTGTTCTATGGCTTTATCACCCTCATCTTAAGAGGAACCGTGTCCAAAGGTGAGACGTTAATAAGGAATGAATATATAATAGATTTATAATCAGATAGGTGACTATCCAGCGCCACCTGCATACGACATTTATTTGTTAGCAAGCATGCTTTTCATAGTTGGAATGATAAGCGAAAAAATATTGTAAAACTAACGGAATTATAAATACAAGCTGTTTCATTTCGAGTAAACATTTCATACCTCAAATTAGACTGGTTAGTGTTTTTACAAAATATAAGCAGAAACATACCAAATATATTTTAGAAACCGCGTTCATATATTATATTTAAATCGACTTTATTATATTAACTTTTATGAGCATGCCTTTTAAGATTTGTCGTTTGAAGAAAAAAACACAACTAGAACGTTATAGTATTTTTTATTATTTATCATAGTATTCACCACGTAGCTTAATACACTTTTCCATTCGCCCAAACCAGTTATTATAACATTTATTCCACTCTAAAGGGGGGGTGTTCAAAATGGCTGACTTGAAAGCGTCGACTGCTTCTTTACCGGACTGGAACCTTTGACCACGAAGACTTTTCTTAATTTTAGGAAATGTATAAAAATCTTTAGGGCTTAGGTCAGGACTTTATGGAGGATGGTCAAGAATTTCTACTCTTTCCTGCTTCAAATACTCAATCGTTTGACGAGCGCTGTGTGAGCTTGCGTTATCGTGGTGCAGGATGATGCGTCGCTTTGAGTTAGATTTTCGAAGTTCGGCTATGACTTGTGGTAAACAAACTGTGGTATATCACTCTGCGTTAACCGTTCTACGATCTTCAAGTGCAATAGTCGCAACATGGCCGGTTTTTCCAACGAACGTGACCACCATATTCTTTGAAGTGTTTCGAGAACGAACAACTTTAGTCGGCTTTGGCTCGTCTTGAAAGACCCAGATTATAGATTGTTGTTTGGAATCAGGATCGTAGGCATAGATCCAAGATTCGTCACCACTGATGATGTCGTAGACGTGATTTGACTCTCCTTGGTTGAACCTTTGCAGAGTTATCTTACACCATCTGACGCGGGCCGCCTTGTGATCGTCGGAAAACAGATGCGATATCCAACGGCAAACTAGCTTTCTCACACCAAGCGCTTCATGCAAGATCTTCTGAATGGCTGTCCCTGAGATGCCTAATAGAGCCTCTATCCCTTGACACGTCACATGACGATCTTCGAGAATTAGTTGCCTGACAGCAATGATGTTATCTTCAGTGAAGGCGGATTTTGGGCGTCCTTCGCGAGATTTGTTACTAACACTAGTAGTAGTATGTCCACGCTGGAATTCTAAATACCAGCGGTCGACAGTCCGCAGACATGGGGCTTCATCACTGAACACAGATGTTAGCTCTTCAAAACACTGAAGCCATGTCAGGCCTCTTCTAACGTTGTAGAAAATTATTCCACGAACATTTTCCTTAGAAAGATTCATTTTCGTACGTAACCCGACAGATTCCAATCGACGCTGTGACTAAACAAAAGCATCAATCCTAATACTTTCAACTATTTTGAGATTTAAAATTTAAACACATTCGAATATAGAACAGTTCCAAATTCAAAATTGCTGGGAAATATGGAAACGACAAAACTTAAAAGGCATGCCTAGTATTCTATAAAATTAAAACGGCCTCTGTATTAATAATTCTATTTCAATATTTTCCAAAAAATATACTAATATATCGATTCAGTTAGAATTTTATTATATGTATAGAAAACATAATTATAACTTCCAAAAAGATTCTAATTTTACTCTTCAAGAGACCGAGACAGATAAATATCTGCAAAGTTTGAGACAAGTTGTGTGTCAGACGTAATAAAGCAGTTCGAGTGGAGACGAAGTGGGATTTAGACCTCGCTTTGCTGCTATTCTTTACACCAATTGTCGCTCAAACCAAAGATACAATAAGTTTCTTTACTTAATATTTATTTTAAAATAAAACTATATACTAGACAAGAAAATATGTTAGAGTTCTAGGTTCTGTCACGAGTTTGATTTCCGTTGGTAATATCGCATTTAAATAAAATAATATATTCAGCCTAATAACTACCTCGGTGATATAGTGGCTAACATGGATGGCTACAGACCCGGAGATCCTGAGTTCTAGTCCCAGGTCGAGCCAAGTTTAATTACTGTAAATACATTCTCTATAACAGCCCGGAGTTGAATAGTTGACGGTGTTTCACCCCCGTTCCTCGGAGACCACATAAAGCCGTCGGTCCTGTGCTTTAATTTTTACTGGTCATGTCGAAGTGTCATACCATAGGACTTTGAGAGTAAAAGGAATAGAGAGTGCACTTGTGTCTGTGCGTACACTTGTGCACTATATTATCTCCTACGCATCTGGATAGTCTCAGTGAGAATGACCGCTGTGGCCGTGACCGATCATTTGCATATAAATGTACATTATATATAATTGTATAATATAAACATAAATCTATTCTACATTATTATATAATACGGCTATTTTATTGTGAGAGGATTACCCTCAAATGTTATTAACTGTTGACAATTAAGAAAATTTATTATCGAAAAGTATTCGAAGAGAAGAAAAACAATTTTAATGAAATATTGTGTTATTTCCCTTTTAGAGCTATATTCTATAAATATGTCGGCGCTTATGACATCTAAGTTACTGTAGCATTTGTGTTGAACTTTCGTATGCTTTAAATGCCTTTTTCGTAGCTTACATTTCTGGCACTATTATTTTGCGGTTCATTTGACTTTCATAAAAACTAGGAAAGTTCTCCCTGCATTCATTATCTCAGTGTAAATCATGTCATGTTGCATGATATACGAGTTTTCATATCTAAATTATGACTCATGGCATTGACTACCTCGTTCTGAAGTTGGAGACAGCGGAATTTGAATCTCGTATAGAGATATTTGTACCACACAAATTGCCAACCATCACGCTGGCCTAGTGCGGGTTGGCAGACTCCACATTCACTTCTCAGACATGCAAGTTTTCTCACGATATTTTCTTTCACCATAAGACGGTTCCCACATGGATATATTAGAAGTGCAGGACCTGGGATTTGAGCCCACTTCACTTGGTTTTCTAAGCGATCGCGTTACCACTGGGCTACCACTGCCGTGGTGCCTTAAAAACTTATTAGGTCACTAAAATTTGTTTTGATACATTCAGAATAAATTTTGCAATATAGATAAATTAAAATAGTTCGACAGTTTGCGGATTAATGACTATTCAAGCATCATCATTATGATCTATTCAAGCAAACAAAAGTACCCCGAAGAATAGCCCGAAGTAGCGCAGTCCAACTTCTTTGTATGGGAAATCTGTATGTCATCTGTGCTAGCGCATTATTAAAATTTTAGTAACGTACTCGGCACAATTATTTCAGAGTTCTCGAAGTAGAGTAAATACCAAACTTTCATAGAATTCTTTAATAACTTCTAAACCATTCATTTTCAAATTATAAAATATAAACTTTGTGTTCCTCGTAATAAACCTTTTAATTTGATGAAGTTTATTATGTACTACGTGAGGCAAGTTAAAATGTAACTTAAAGTTGCATGCCACAACAGGTCTTAAATGTCTTAATTTTATGATGAAACACGGATTTAAAAACAAAATAGTAAATATTAATCTGTATTGCAAAAATTGTTGATGCGAATTCGAAATATACCCGGATTACATACACCAGTAAGTATTCGGTAAGCCCACTATTTGCAATGATTTCCAATGAGTGACTATATTTTAAAATCTAAAAGTAAGCAATAAATTGACGATATTTTTATTAAGTAAATTTTGTTATTGAACAATATAATCAAACTGGGTCTAAAATTGTAAAATATTTAAAGTAACTTGGAAACAGATGTATGTACGTTAGGGTGTCCCGTCCATGTATGAGTTTTTTTTTGCGAGCTACACTATCGCAAGAGGTATCCAAATTTGCGTAATTTTACACTAATTACGATAAAGGTAAGAAAATTAGAAATACGTATCATCTTGAGGGCTCTACCGCCCTTTGAAGTTTTATAAATTTTACGTTTTTGAAGACCTAAGCCGAATGCCTAAAATAAAACAAAAATCAAGTTTATAAAATATTTTATCATTAAAATTATTGAAACAAAGCGCAATAAAACAAAATAAATAAAATAGAGCTTTAATCAATGAGAAAAACTTAACATTTAAACTAATCGTTGTGTCCGATATTTGGCATTTCAGCTCGAGATTACAATCTGGTTTCTAATAAAGCCATCTCTAGAAGTAGCGTTAGTTATACTTTGTGAAGCCTCTGTTAGCAGCTTGACACATCTTTCTAAGGTCTTATCTTTTGCCATGATTTGAAGGTTCTCGTCAGCAATATGTCGAAGAACAGGCGGTGTTGTAACCTGACACTCGTACCACACAATAATTTCGCAAAGAAGTTAATTTTTTATAGTTTAAATATCCCGATTTTAGTGTTACTTTCAGCTTTTCTAGCATTTATTATTCTTCGCAATGCCAGCTCCCGAATATGATCTCTATCATCAAACAACATATTAGTAGGGAAGCCCAAGAGGGGATTTTCTGTAGTTACTCGAGCGCGGCAGATTAACATAAAAGAGGTTACCTTGCACTCTATTGAGTACTTTCACCACAATATAAGTCTTCTATATAAAGGGGCGCGTCTAGGGAAGCCGATTAAAATATTTAAAAAATGTTTTGATAAGGTAAAAATACTTGAAACCGTCAGATTAAGGTGTGGTAGGCTAGTCACATCCTGAAAAGTGTCTAATTCAATAATCTGCCGATTTGCACAAGCCGAAGAGCACCCCTTTATATAGAAGACTTATATTGTGGTGAAAGTACTCAATAGAGTGCAAGGTAACCTCTTTTATGTTAATCTGCCGCGCTCGAGTAACTACAGAAAATCCCCTCTTGGGCTCCCCTACTATATTGACAACTTATTGACTCTCAACTTTATGCTGCTATCCTTTTTATTAATCTAGCCGTTTCTTTCATATCAATGCCATTTATAATCATTTTCTAGTCATTTTTTGATCCAGTAAAGAACTTCTATCATTAACGGGAACTTTATTAGGTTTTAAACACGAACAAGATTTCAATGAAGTGTATTAGAGTCATCTGAGAAGCTTTTCATCGTTACTGCTGATAGAGTAACATCGAAAAGCTTCTCAGATCACTTTAAAAACACTTGTTTGTTTGCAAAACTATCATTTTGTTTACTTTTGGGATACCTTTTCATATTAAGGCATTTTTTGAAATAGGTTTTCTGTAATTGAGTAACAAGTTCCTTACTTATGATTGGAATCGAAGATTTGGGCCAAATATTATTGATTTCTTCAGAAACAATCGCATATATATGTGACTAGGATGGATCCTTTCCATTATACATACTTCATTTTCAGATTATTCTTTATAAATAAAATATATTTAATGACGTCCTTTATAGGTAGCTGCCGATCGTCAAGTTCTTCTGTGTCTCAATATAGCACAAGTAGGCTCATTCCACGACTCGAAAGTTATTATTTTAAAACCACAAAATCTATTTTTAACACTATAAAAATTGAAACTGTATTTTTATAGCAACAAAATTAATTTGAATACGAAGAAAACACTTACGAGTCAAATCAAGAAAGTCTTCGAAAAAAATTGAAATTTAAGGGTATTTGGAAGTTAAAACCTAACAAATTCGAAATACTTCGTATATGTATGACATCTTAATAAAACAAAAAGTAAATATTTAGTGCAGGAGCTGAAATTAAAAATAGCGGAATATCACCATAGAAATAACATTTTTTTTTAAACTTTGAGGATCGGTAGAACCCTAAAGATATAGTTTTATTTTATTTTTTTAACTATTTCGGTAATCTACGATCAATTACGCAAGTTTTGAGAGGTCTTGCGCTGAGGGAAACAAAAAGAAATTTTTCAAGACACCCTAAGGTACATCTGTATAAATATAATAAATGTGAGAGTTTGTGTCTATGGGTGTTTGTTACTCTTTCACGCCAGAACGGCTGAACGGATGTGGATGAAATTTGGAACACAGATAGATTATTATAGTATAGAATAACACATTCTTTCTATCCCGGAAAAATGTACGGATCCCGTGGTTAGGTTTGTTTTTGTTTACCTAGAGGTGAACACTTTTGTGTTAGTTATTCAATAAGGACGAAACAATATTAATTTAAAGTAATACTTGAAAATCAAGCTGTATAAATGTACTGAAGAAGAAGAAGTCTTTATAAATAAATCAACCATTAAAATCAAAAGATTAAAATCAACGATTATTATCAGTTCGTACGCTACTTGTGTACTTACTAGTGCCAAGCGTATCTTATGTTGCCTATCTAATGTTGGGTGACATGCGTTTCAAAGGAAACCAAGGAATAAAGTCAGTGATATGTTATATCGTTTGTATACTATTTATCATGATTTCATTTTAATACAAAAGACTATCTTCAATATTGGAATACTATTATAACTACGAAATTTTGTACATATGTTTGTTTGTAACTCCTTCACGCAGAAATGGCTGAATTGTAAAGAACAAAAAGAGACTAGACTTGGAGCATTACATAGCCTACAGTCAGGCACATAAAGACGTACCCGAGTTGTTTATATAGATTCCTAATATTTTATATTATATAAAAAAGAAACTGTAATAAATTACATAAAAATCAAAAACATAGGACTTCCAGATAAAATGACGATAGCCCTGAGCTCCCATTTATTCGTCCCTGTCGTAAAATCCTTTCTTAACTGACGCCTCCTACTTATAAACTGCCTATATGGTAGATTTCAGCTTTATAGGTCAAGAAGTTTTTGAAATTTAGTGTTTAGTCAGTGAATGAATAAATGATTTTTTCACTTTTGTAATTTTGACGATATCGTTTTGATGATTTTTTTAATGAAATGCCAAGAGTCTTTCCTCGCTAGTAACTACTAAGCTGCGTCTTCCATCATCTTGGCTCCCTACAATTTTACAATTTAAAAACCTGGCAACCGCAATTTAAAATCGATTTACGCTAATAACTTAACTTCTGCATGTTTCTTATATCATAGGTGATATATTTTCAATTAGAAAACTAATGAAAAAACAATTACATAAAAAATTGTTAACAAAATGTTTTTTTCAGATCGCCAATATTGGTATGCTCAAGCACAAGAAACTCTACAAAAACGTCTTCAGTACGCTTCAGAGAAAAATCCTGTAGCAAAGTAAGTAATTTCATTTTCTTGGCTTAGAATTTTTCATTTCTTTTTTGCATAAACCAAACACGTAGCGTGTTTGGTTTTTTATTAAATAATAAAAATATGTCTCAACTGAATTACTTAATAAAGTTCCATGATATATTGGAGATATAGCGTGAAGTTATGCGTGCAATATGTGGTTCCGCACATTAATATAGCTTATGTCGTATTTTTCCTGTAAACTAAATGGAAATTAAATATATACCAGTTTTTTGAAATTCAGTCTCATTAGCTCAGTTTTAAATATGAAGTATATAGAAATGCTCGATTTTGAGTATAGGCTCAATTCTCTATAATATTTTTAAAATTTATTTTTATTTTCATGTTTGGTCACCAGTGACATTGACTATATATAAATAATTTTTATTTCCATTTATTTATATTTAGTAAATAATGTGTATCAAATTGTAATAAGGTCGCTTATTCTAAATTTAATTGAGATTATGTACTCACAGACATAATAAAATATATATAATATACATTGGTATACTCTATGTAGTTGTGTTAATAGACCTATATTGTCATAGTGTTAATTGAATGGTCTGTATATAATTTGAATGCTTATTAGGAGCGAATTAGTATGTATAAAGCAAGCCCGTATGTGGTAATCGTTACCAATTGTGAAATTGCTATTAGAATTGTGCCGTATATGTATCCTCATATATGCATAAAGGCGGCTTTAGTAACAAAAATACGCATTGTCTCCATGAAATATGGCCACAATTTACTGTTTCAGTCACAGGATTCTAAATAACTATTATTATCTGTAAGATATCACCGAATTTATACGAATAGTGATTGTTGTCTCACGTAGCTCTTATCGATGAAATTTGGTATGATGATAGCTGGGTATCCGGGTCAACATATAAGATACTTTTTACTGCGGGAAAATATTTCATCTCTGAGGAATTTATACCAAACGTTAAAACATAACTAGAGATGAGCCCGAGCCGAGCGAGAGTAAGTCGCTAGTATATTATAAAATTTCAACTCGACAACAATTTCTATAAAGCGCTCCACAAAAAGAGCCAGCCCTGTCGACTCTTTTGAACTATGTCATTTCTTACTAGAACAAGAGAGTCACTACGTACATAAGTTAATCCTAGTGACTAAGTTACTAGACTAGGTAGTCTATTGTTCACGCGCGGAACTTGGACTTCGCATATGAGTTGTAAGATAGAATTATAGTGCGGCAGTATATTATTCCTGGATTTAAAAAAAAGTTATCTATGATTATCTTTTCGGATTGTTTCGCAGATTTATTTTGATTTTTGGTTATCAACGCGTACGTTTCGAATGTTTTACAGTAGTCGTGATCACGGGACAGACGCAGAACTGAAAATGTCAAAGACTCGCGTTAATCTAAGAAAGTATTATCTAAGACGTTGTGCTAGTTAAACCTATAATATTATAGACAAATGTCATATAGTACAAGCCCATAATAAATATTCTCGTGACATTTTTTTACTTTATCTAAACATATAATAAAATTCTAGCTAAGCCGAATCTGTACATTAAATGTTATTTGGAAAATCTTATTTAAATAGATACAGAGGCCGAATCTATAGTTTTTATAATTTTTGTCTGTCTGTCTGTTACCGCATTACGGATTTTGTTGAAATTTGGTATGGTGATAGCTGGTTATCCGGGTCAACATATAGGATACTTTTTACCGCGGGAAAATATCTCATTTCTGAGAAAAAATACAAAAACTGCAATGTTCTTACTTATGTAAAACCTAAGAATTTGGTTTTGGTCATTTGAACGCGGCCGGAGCCGCGGGTAATGCTAGTCTGCAATAAAACGCAAAAGAAATTATTACAGTAAGTTTCTCTTTGTTCACGTTAATTTTAAAATTCGAATACAGTACACTTCATTAAATCATTTTTAGTTTAATTTGATCATGGCCTATCTTTGAAAAAAAGGAATTATATCGTGCTGTTCAAAAAGTTTAACAAAAAGCCGGAATTTCGTGTCAAGCTTATTTTTGTTTCAATAAGTCATTATTGGTTTTTTCGGCTCTCAGCGTTTCAACAAACTTGATGTATAGAAATTGTTTGTTATAATATTAGGCTTTCATAAGGAATGTAATAATTCCATGATTTTATGTACTTTTTGTGTTTAGATAAATCAGTTTATCATAAGTTTATTATCTTGGCAGGTAAGGTTACTAAGTAAGCAAGGTTGTCAACATTTTAAGATGTCCTCTAGAAAAAAACCGAAACGTAACTTTTAAGTTTTTTTCGTAATCACAGAATCACACACACACACACACACACACAGAAGGTCAGACAGTGTATTTTGTATAGAAGTGATTTCATCTTCACTCAGATTTTCGTTCGGATTTGAGAAATGCCTTACTAGTTACTCAAACTAAATCAAATATATAAACATTTTAATATCTTTTTGATTTGCCCATACTCATATGTCATTTTTATTGCTACCCATTCATTTTACCACATGAAATGTGAATTCAATGGGTTCATGTTCGAATCTCAACGAGCATGAATGAAATATATAATTGTATTAAGCTTATTCGAGGATATACTTCAATTGCCGTCGTTAGTTCGTCCTCGAGTATCTGTATACACGGCATACCGTTTTACAAGTATGTATGAAGTCGGCACTGAATTTTCCTGAGTACATCTTGCTTAGCTTTTTGTCTTGTTTGACTGGTGTCTTGACTGTGTTATACATGTCTATTTTGCACCATCCTCATACTCTAATGTTTTTTTTTAATTAATAATCCAAGTAATTTTTTCACCAGAAACGTAATATTAGTGGTTGGTGACGGAATGAGCCTGACCACAGCAACAGCGGCTAGAATTTTACGTGGTCAGCGGAGAGGTCAATCCGGTGAAGACACGGATCTGGTTTGGGATACTTTTCCTGCGGTCGCACTAGCAAAGGTATGTTTATTTATTTATTTTTTGGATATGTTTTCATCATAATCTAATTTTATATATTTTATTTAGATTAAATAACATGGCTATCTGTACCCATCAATGTTATTCGCGTGGACTCAAAATAGAAAATTATACTTGCTATGCATAATAATTAACCTTGAAAATTAAATATTATGGTCAATTTGGATAAAATAAACACTAATTTTCTTTATTAATCAAATATTCATATATTTACAATAGAAATTGCACCGGTAATTCATAATTGGTTTCTTTGTAATACAAGCTTTCATGATTGCTTGCACCACAAAAAATCAATTATACATTCACAAACCAACAAACAGACAAGTAATAAGCTATTATAAAAAATATGTTTTGTTTTATTACTACCGACCTTCAGTTATTTTCCTTAAAATCTTTTATGTAGTTGCGTGTGACAAAAAGTTTACAATTACCAGACACAGTAATGTTAGATTACAAATAAACGTAATTTAAAACAATGTAAAACGTTAACACTTTCGAAATTTTCAATTTGAATTATCACTCCCAGAATTCTCTGGAGAAGCGATTTTATTTAAATATGTAGATGTGACCTAGAAACTGTATTATTATATTTACACAGCTGTTTGTAATTAGAAGACTTTGCTTAATAAAACGATTTTTACAATTTAGATACCTTTAAATTAATAATATTCCCTGGAGCATAACACGTTCACTGCGTCATCATTTTGAAAGAACTTTCAGCTGGTGCTTTGGAAACCTAAAAGATCTCGAAACTAGCCTACCCTTTGGTGCGTTAGAGACCTAATCAGTCTCCTAAAAATACAGTTTTGAAAATAATTTATATCTTCCAAAAAACTAATGACATATATTTTAAAGTTTTTGTGGGTCAAGAGAGCCTATTGCTCTACATTTTGCTAGGTTCGCACGCAGTTATGACATTAGAATAAGCTACAAATACCAAAAAAAAATTAGATATCGATTGTATCTCGTACCGCAACCGAAGATAGTTCAATATGTGTAGTAAGTAGTGATGGGAATAAAATAATATCTCAGTTGTCGATTGAAAAAGTTTTATTAAAGAAGTTTATTTATAAACTATGCAAAGTGTTTTTCATTAAAACATAGTAAGCACATTGATTATTTGCATTGCGCGCAAATGGTATTTTTTCAGCTTTTTTTAGAAGCGTCAGTGCTGTTTAATGTGCGTCGTAATTTTTCATAACAACCCACACAACGTCTTTTTGTCGCCACGTTGGAAAACATGATCTGTACATCTTCCTTCGGGAATTCTGTAATAAAAAGCATTATATTTTCCAAAATTGTAATTATACTGGACGATGCAGCACTATAATCCAGCGTTGATTTTTCATTCTTAGAAATCTCACCAAAATAAAACAATTTTATTAAATAATTAAATATATATATTAAATAAAAATTTTTTTACACTTTTTCGAAACGTGCGCGCAACCTCCCACGTCGACGCTAGGACAACACTAAATCGATTCACACAGCGCCCGCGCCCCCCAACCTCCCTTTCTTGCGTCTACGAGGCGTACGATTCCACGAGTATCGACATGTCTCCTAACGCAAGGAATAAAAATAATTATACTACTGTGCGTTAGGGACCTAATCCATCTCTATTTATTTTTTTTATGTCCTCGAATTCACCTTTAAGTAGGAAGCAAATATGTATATTTGTCTTACTCATACTTAAAGAATTTTACGCGTTAGAGCCTCCCGCAAGGAGTGAAACAATACGATTATAGCCAACGCACAGTACAAAAGTCCTGCAAGAGATCTGATAGATCTCGTAATGCAGCGAACGTGATAAACGAGATCTTAATTGTATAATAATTCCGAATACAAACCAATTTACAAAATTCTATAATTTTGAAAGAATAACAACCACAACCAGTCTCCAAAAATACCGAACATTAAACTAACCATCACTAAATAATCACCATAACTAAATAATCATGTACTTTACTAATTTCTCAAAATAATCTGTATATTTTGGATTAAATAATAATTAAACATTAGTTTGTGTTAAATCAAGTTACCATTGCTTACAGTATACGAGCTTACATCATCTGCTCGCGTTTAAAGTGAAGTTTCATCTGTGTACCATGTTAGGATGCTGACGCTTTCTAACAGCACACAATGTTAGAGAATCAGTAGATCTAAATTTCATGTACCATAAGAGCTTTTTAAAATAGCTTTAAGTTGTTTTGCATAAGGATTATCATAACAATTTCTATGGTTCCGTACCCGAAGGATGCCAAGGGACTTTATTACGAAGCCTCCGTTATCCGTCTGTCTGTGAGTCAGTGGGCTGTATCTCATAAACCGTAATAGGTAGAGAGTTTAAATTTTTACATAGTATCTATTTCTATTGCCGCTATATCAAAAAATAATAAAAAACTAAGATGGCGAATTTCAAAATGGCCGGCATGCAAATTAAAAAAAATCTATTACGCTGGTATTGGTCAGCGTGTTCAGTCCTATTAAAAATAATAATAACAATATACGAATATACGAAAATTAAAAAAACTAAGATGGCGAATTTCAAAATGGCCGTAAAATGTATTGCAATAAAACACGAAGTTGAAGGTTCTTTTATCGTGTTCCAAGTTTTACCTTCTAATACTAAAATCAACCTAAAACTTTGAAACTCACTTGAAGAGTCATTTTGCCAGTAACTTGTATCCATGTACGAGTATGCCAGTTTTATCTTGCGCTACTACTTTGAAAATGGCGGTTGATGTTTTATATCAGCTGCTATAGAAATATGTTCGAGCCTTTTTAGTACACATTAGAATGTTATGAGCCGCTCTGCACGGCCAAAATACGAGTATATCCAACTCGATCTAACTGATTGTAAAAAATAAAATATCTTACTATTGCATAAATTATATATATAAAAAATGTCAATTATAATAAGTAGGTATATACTTATGTACTTACTGTACTTTGCGACTTATCTTGCGACATATGTACCTCGCTAGATTCGTCAGTAGTCAATGCCCTTAGTAGTTATAGTTTATTGAACCTATCGTTATTTATGGACTTCTGCAAAGAATTATTCAGATATTATAGCGATAATATTACGGCTTTTACTTTTGCGAGCACTGGTCATAAAACAGTCTCTACTTGGCTCCAGCGTGACGTAATCTAATATCTTTTGTAAGTTTGGGCACTTTCCAATATCGTTAATCATTTTTTATATTATATAAGAATATTGTTTTAAATATAATTTCTAAATACTTAAAATTTCTCAATACTTGAAAAGTTCAAAATTAAAATCAATTAACCATTTTTATTTATCCTAAATAAGAAGAAAAAATTTGACAACGTCAATACAAAATTTATTGTGTAATCGAAATTTATTTTAAAATATATCCAAAAATAACATTAATAATTGAATTAATAGTATAAAAAATGTTTTAAAACACAATAAAATCGAAAGTGCATAATATTTAACACCATTCAGACAAAGAAAGACAATAGCGTTCCCAAGGAGGGTTGACGTCAGGCAGGCGGCCGGTCGTAAAACTTTTGCCAAATCCTATCAGCAGTACACTGAAGATGTACTGCGCCGACCCCAAGTGATTTGGGAAATGGGCAGGGAGAAGAAGAAGAACCATTTTTATTTATCCTCTATCATATTCTAATTAGGTAAACGTTACTAATTAGTATACAAAGATTTACAACAATTTTTGGTTTGATTCGGTCTATGATATTGTGCAAATAACTACATAAAATAGGTATAAAAATGGGATTTCTTTTTTAAAAACACAGGTACGTACTTCTATTTTACTATTGGTTTGAGATATTTATTTCTCTAAAAAAATAAAATTAACTTACAAGAGAAATACAAAAGTATTTTAAAACTACATAGAAGTGTACATAGAAAAAGTACGTGGCTTTTCAAAATAATCCAATTAAAATAATACAGTTCATAAACTTTTGCATTAGAAATGAAGCTTTTAGTATGTCGTTAGTGAGCTTAAAGAGTAAGTAAGTTCTGTCTTTGATCCTTCGTTAATCTCATGTCGAAACAAATCGTCAAGTATAATTGTATTATGAGGATAGGGTCCGGCAAGATTACAGAGGGTCTACATACGCGGCGATTCGCCCAACTTAATTAAAACTATGGTAGGATATAATGTTATCTTTAAACATGATGAAGACTGTTGGATGTTTTCTTTATGTTATATTTAAGTTTGGTAACTTCTACCTGCCATGCCAAATACTACAAGATGCCTTTTTAATTAATTATGTGGGACTTACCGATCAATAAATCCAGTAGGTAAATACTTCGACATAATGGAGCATCGCAGGATCACGGTCCTCTCTGCTATCAGAGAAGTACCAGATGTAACCTAGATCCCTCCCTCCTCTCCACGACAAGATGGACACACATCGGGGAGGTTCTGGCTAAAACCTAAATTAAGTCTTGCTGCTCTTTAATACCTAATGCCTAATGAGGCAGATTTCAATATTTGCATTTAGTGAATATAAGAAAAGAGGAAATGTGCCAAGTGTGAGCAAGTCACTATTTTATAATTCACTAGCGGCTCACCCTCGCTTCGCTCAGGTTCGCCTTTAGAAAAACATTAATAGAGAACTATTAGTTCCCACGGGAACCGTTCATTTTTCCGGGATGAAAAGCAACCTGTTATTAGACCGGCAATATAAGGTATCAGAATGCTAAATTTTACTAAATTAGGCGCATAAGTTGCTGTGTTCTAAGCTGTATTTTAACTATCCCACGCGAACTCTTAAATTTTATGGAATGAAAAATATCTAAGATGTTGACCGGGGATATAAGGTACCACAATGCAAAATTTCATTTAAATCGGTCCAATAGATTCGGAGATTAGCCCGTACAAACAGACAAACAGACAGAGAAACAAAAAAATTAAAAAAATCTGGATTTGTTCTATTTGTCTTCTTACATCCCCCTAACTCGGTTTTTAGCACTTTTTTGCTATGTACAGACATTCGACCTCTACTCTAATTAAAGCCTACCTATTAAATACATACCTAATCAAATATTTTCGAAATCAGTGCCAGCCCATACAAAGCAAAGCACACCGACTTTGAAAATATTTGATTAGGTATGTATAGTAAATGAAAACTACCAATCAGTTATTTTTTACTTTTTAGTGCTTTTGTTTGAAGTCGGTTTTTATTTTTTTGTTAAAAAGTTTTTATATTATAGTATAGATATGTTTAACGTAAAAACGTTATTTAACGTTTCATCAAAAGTTTTACATGTGCTTACAAAATATAATTCTTCTGCTAATGGAATGTACTGTTACCCACTGGTAACCACAGTTAATTATTTGTAAAAGCTTTAATTGAAAGGCGTTACTTAAAATAACCAACCACAATGTTCTAGGGAACTGAACAATTTTAAATTAAATAAAGTTACAATAATGTTAACAACGCAAAATTGCATGTTATAAATAACAAGCTCATATTTGATCTTTGAAATAAATGTATGTATCTATATTTTCCAAGAAAATGTAACAGATATTTGACAAAATAGAATGCATCATTAAAGTAGTCAGGTAGTTGTTACAAACATATGAAGCGGTAGTTCCTAGTGCAATGTGAAGTCATTGTACGTTAGAAAAGCAGAATGTTTCTTCTAATTTCTAGTTATTACTAAATATTCATATTATGTTTGTATTTATATTTTGTCTGTCTGTATATCTATACTTTATATGTTATGAGGTAGAAGAAAATATTTAGGCAATAAAAAATATCCTTATGACCAAAAATATCTTAAATAACCTTATTGAAATTTAAATTAGCTTATCAGGAAAATTTCCACTTTCCACAATTGTATTAGTGTTACATTATCATGTTACTAAAATAACTAATATTTTATTTTATCAGACCTACAATATAGATGCTCAAACTGGCGAGTCCTCAGCCTGCGCTACCGCCCTCTTATGCGGTGTGAAGGCTCGTTATGAAACTCTGGGTCTCGATGCCGGAGGACGTTTTAACAACTGTGCGTCTGCAATAAACTCCAAAGTCACTTCACTGATAGATTGGGCGCATGAAGCTGGTGAGTCTCACAGAGATTAATTGATATTTGACTTTCCATCCTTGTATGAGAGAAGATATACCTAATAAGCGATGCGAGTCAAGTTACTTGATTAGTTTTCAACTCTGCCTCATGTTATGATATACGAGTATGTATAAGGTTTGTCGTTAGTTCTTAAGTAGTATATTCTGTGTTTGTATGGCACTTGTGATTTTGTTAAGAATAGGTAATAATTAATTATTTCTAGTAGTTCACGTCCATTCTATTGTAATGCAGGCATAATCATGCTTCACTCTTGCTTTCATTTACACGTCTTTATGATTGATATACGCGTTCTTCTTACGTAAGATAATTGTATTCACGACTAAATGAAAATGATTTTTTTAGAAAAATAAAATTGCAATTCAATCCAATTATTTTGCCCAGTCAGGTTAGCATTTACCCTGGAAAAATTCTCGACCAAAATTTTATTTTAACAACCTTTAGGGGTTAGTCACTGGGAGTGTTTTAAAATCGCGATCAAATTCAAGCTGTGCGTTAGCCGCCATCTTGATTTTAATGGGCAATCGTTTCTCCTCAATATTTCGGACATTTTCAACTTTTGGAGAAAATTGTAGGGTGTAAAATTGTTCATCATTCAATTCTCTACATTTTATTTTTTGCTCATTTTTTCGTGCGATCGATATTTTCCGAGTTGAAGACAGGTATGCGGCAAAACAATCAGACGCACGTTTAAATTTACACTCCCAGTGATTCTCCCTAAAGTATGGTGAAATAAATTTTTGGCCTAGATTTATTTCGGGGTTAGGCTCTTATTTTCGACACCCCGACTGGGCTATTATGGCTTCAAAGCGTGCCAGTTGAGAGCAGATTACTTCGCCAATGAATAATATTGCATGGGAATGACATATTTTAGCGTTGAGTTAATCGTCATTATATTCGTCGTTTAGATTTTGAAATGTGAAAATTTTAGAGAATTAACAAGAATATTGAATTGAAAAGTAAAATAAAGATAAAATAGAAGAAAAAAAAAGTGTCAGGGCTTAGGCCCCGTTCGATATTTGCAATTGCTAATTCGTCAAATGGATTATTTCAATTTGCTGACTTAATTAAAGCTCTAAACACCGAAATATATCTGACCACCACATACATAATGTTCTCTTTTGGGATAACTTTGTGATACTGTGTATGAAATTAATTAATCTCTATATATCTGTATTTAGGTAAATCCAGTGGCATAGTAACAACAGCACGTATCACACACGCCACGCCCGCAGCGCTATATGCACACGCGCCCTCACGTTACTGGGAGGACGATAGTCGCGTACCCCCGACTGTGAGACGAGACTGTAAAGATATAGCCCTCCAGCTAGTTGAAAATGAGCCCGGCCGAAGCATTAATGTAAGTTTGTTCGTAACATCTTGTTATTTTAACTTCTCACATAATCATAGCCTATGGCGAGGAATCCTTTTCCTTTTTATTGGCTTCTTTGATTTTGTATGGAATTTGGGATTTTATTATATAATAATAAAGCTTATGATACTATATCTTAACTCATACGATACCTGTAAAGAAAAAGTTAATGAATGATCTAATTAGAATATGAGGTCGCAGTACTACTACACGTATGTATGTATAAAGCCTGCAAAAATCATTTACATTTACCCATAAAATCTAGCTCTGAATAATTTCAATTTGGTTTCCTAGAGGCCTTAAAAACAAAGAAAATTGATCCTGACTTTTCACTATAAAAGTGTTGAACCACAGATTTTTGAGTTTTAGTTTCTAGAACTGAGTTAATCTTAACTAGATTGCAGAAACGTTTATATGATATTATAGGTATATTTAACTTACGTGGTAATGAAACCTGCGACCTCCTGCAGAGTAAGTAGTTAAAAATTTATTGACTACATTTTGCAATGCATACATTTGTAAATATACTGAAAACTTTTAGTTTTATTATATACGTAGTATAGATATTATGTACCTACTAGAATGTTAATGTGATAGTACGAATTGAAACATCTCGACAAATTAATAGTGCCATCCGTCTACCGAATAACTTAGTTCCAATTCTAGTTTCACATCACACTACAAGGCTAAATTCAAATACTCGTAATAATAAAAGGTATTCGATAAATTAAATTCAACTCACTGGCTAAGAAGAAATTAAATTTCTACAAGCAAATATAGTGAATACTTCTATGTGATTTATTTAATATAGCTTCTATGAGTATTTTATTCCTTACCCCAAAATGTATATGTCAGTCATGTACTATAAGATTACAAGATTTACTTGTATCTTCTATATGAGACTGAAAGGAATATTAATGTAGGCCATTTTGCATAATATCAACGTTCATATATTCCTTATCACAAGACACGCTATAGATGTTAGTCGTTTAACATTGAAAGCAGGACGTGACTGCGAAAATATTGCTCTATATTTTTGGTAACTCTTCTATAATATAATAGTGAATATATAATAAATAATTTATAAATATATTAAATCTATATACAATGGCCATTTAAATCATCCAGTTGTGATGGTTATTTGAGTTATATGAAATCAAAATCACGGGATAAGTTCCAGACCGAAGCGTGAAATAAAAAATAGATTGCTTGTTATAAAAATGAATAATTGTTTGTTATAAAAATTCTAAAAATTGGTATATAAAAATGTATAGAATCACTTTATTTAAAAACCTTATTTTGCTATTACAAAGAACTGTCAAACCTAAAGAACAAACCTTCGTCTAAAACAATATACTAATACGGCCCAAAGTTTGATTTTGATATAATATAACAAGATTTTGTACACCTGTAAATATATGAACCTGAAAGGCCAAAGAAAAGTAACTCACTTTGTGTTGATCGACGTGAGCGGTAATTATTTTCCCGAAAACCTTTTTTTTCTATACAAGATGGAAAGTATAAGGAATTGGGGTCGCAATTTACGAAATAGTTCTTTGTTTGGTTTTGAGTGACGTTTTATGTTAAATTATAATATTTTTAACACAAAACTACCAATATTATTTGTATCATATTCTTTAATTACTACTTTTTCTGATTTAGGAAAAGTATTTTAAGATCATTTTGAAGCGATCTTCTTAATTAAGCCAATATAAATAATTTGTAGAGTACAAAAAAATATTTAGATAAAAAAATAAAATATATCATAACTTAGAGCTGTATCGTATTTTGTCAAAATATTTTTTAATTGATATTGCAGTCAATTAAGACACCTAATAGCTTATTTTATTAAAGAACTATTATTACTCTGATTTTCAGCAAAAAATTAAAAAAAATTATTTAAAAAGTAAACATAAATGAAATATTTAGTGAAAGAATAATATTGAAACATTCTATATTCGTGTAAATAAACCTTCTTCACAGCTTGCTTTTGGCGATCTATTAATATCTTTTAGATAGGTTATGACAAAAGCTCTTTGAGCTCTTAAAATATTATACTTAATTATTTTTAATATCTATGTATAATCTAGGCACAGCTTATACTATGTGATTTATAATATTTTTCTTTATAAGGTGATAATGGGTGGAGGCAGACGTCATTTTCTGCCAACTATAACACCTGACCCTGAGCATCCAAACAGAGAAGGAAGGAGACTCGATGGAAGAAATTTAGCCGAAGATTGGGCGAGGGAGAAAAAAAGAAGGCGATTGCGAGCTCAATATATTCATACACGAGAGCAACTTGCGAAATTGGACCCGAGAACAGTGGATTATTTATTAGGTAGGCTATTAATTTTAGTGTTTACTAGCGCCTTACTCTTGCTTTGCTTGGGCCCCTAAGTGTCTAACAGTAGGTTATGTGTTACTCCAGGTATGGTAGTCTATCTGTGGACCAAATTTCATCTAAATCCGTCCAGCCGTCAACGTGAAGGAGTAACGAAAATACTCACACAGAAACACACATATACATATTACATAGTACATACACACACAAACTTTAACTTTATATTAGTCAGATTAAACAGTGGAGACACTTAGTAGTTAGTAGTTAGCAATTATGAAGATATATTATTGTTATCATAAACACATTTGCTTTTTTATTTTAATTCATTGTATTATTATCGGAATAATATTTAACCTTACATATCTTTTCTTGATATTACCTATAGTATAGTTTGTCTCAAAGTAAACGAAATAAAGTACTTTGAAGTGACTCCTTTGAATTGTTTAGGGTCATGTATGGAATTTAATTTAATTATGGTTTCACGGTTTCTTTGGCTTTCGCGGTTTGGATTATACATACGCATGCTTCCATCAAAATTTTCCATAACCGTTCGCATAAATGAGGCAGTAAGTAGGTATATCAGAAACCTATGTTTTTATCAAAATTAGGTACTATTTATTTTAATTTTAGGTCACTTAAACACGATACTGCATGTGGTTTGCTATTAAAACTTTGTTAATATTTCTCACGTAGTCCAAGCGCACAAAGTCAAAAGCAACCACTAGAAATAATATGCTGCACAATCTTCAAGTTAATTGAATCTCTGCAGTTGCTCTCCAACACAAATGATATGATTTATTCAAACATTATTAGTTACGAATCTAATAAATAAATTATTGACCTTAAAATATTATGTTACTTCAATAAATGTATCTTATAAATATAACTAAAAATAACTTAAATACCATTACATTTATCCTTATAAAGTTTTGTAACATAATTATTTTATGTAATACTTAGAAATCTAGCCAAGATCTCATCACTAAATTATCCAGATTGTTTAAATAAACCATTTCAAAGCTTGTCAAAATACATTTTTATAACTAATTGTCATAGCGAGAAAAAGAAAATATAAAGAAAAATTAGCTGAATTGAAGTTCCAGAATGTTAGATATCTTTATTTTATACGGAGATGGAAACGCTTTTCAACTATTCGGAATAACTTTTCAAACAATAAATGAGCGGTGAATTATTCATTTTAAACAAAAGACAAAGAATTTTGAAACTCTTATAGTATTCCACTAGGATAAACTTTGGTTTCTTATAAAAATAATGATATAATTTTAAAAATCCCTTACCATAGTATAGGATATATTGAAAAATATTTCTTTTTAGTGTTTAGTTCTGAGTAATCCTGCCATTTTATTTATAGAACGATTTGACCATTAAATTACGGTAATTTTTAATAATAAATCTTTGAAAACTAGCCGGTTATTGATAAATTTTATGACGTTGTTATTTTAACGAGTTCGGAGTGGGGTACGATTTAATCCAAACTATCTGTTTTATAGAACATTTTTTTCTTATTTAATGTTGGATTATCTCAAGATTAAATCATAAAACAACCTGCTAGTAATAAATTTTAGACAATCACCATTTCGACATGTTCCCACAATGGTATCTACCACTATCAAATTCTCGTAAAATAATTATTGAACGTACTCACGAGGTTTTAGCTTGTTCTTAATTATTAAAAAGATGGTGACTGTAAATCATAAGTATTAAAATTTAAAATTAATCTTTCTAGTCTGCCGGTAATTTACAAATGCTTACAATATTGTTATTCGTATAGAAGGTACTAAAACAATTCAATTATGTGTATTGGAGATAGAATCTTTTATTTATAATAAGAAAATTGTTAGCATTAACGAATCTTTTATTGGATTAGTTTGGGGAAGGAAACACAAACATCTAATGCCTATCTTATAATGACTAATGTATAAGTTTTTACGACAGGAAACCTACTCAGAAAACCTATAAAAAACTTCTATTACTAGACTTAAGAAAATTGTTAATAAAACGCTTGTTAGCTATTTTTAATTATTGTACAATAAATAACTAAATAGAAAATATCACAGTAGAGTTTTTAACTAGCAATAACTGTTATTTTATTATGTTAATGTTGGATAAAGAGTTTAAATTAAAACTACTACATAGATTTTTATATCGGATAATAATATATAATTAACATTAGGTATATCTTATTCGGATTCGCATCATATATTCTATTGTCCGGTTGTGTTTTTATTAGTTTTAATGATGCTCGATTAATATGGTGATGATTATGGGTTTGTTTTGTAATTGTCAAATAAATAATAAATACGTTTTACATACATATTCACACACTAGCGGCCACCTTCGCTTCGCTCGAGTTCGTCCCTAGCTTGATTCGCCATACAAACTTTCATCCCTATTTTCACTCCCTTAAGGGATGATTTCCGGAATAAAAAGTATTTTAGGTCTCAAAATATCTTCTTACCAAATCTCATCTAAATCGGTTCTGTAGTCCAGAGATTACTCCCTATAACGTCACAAACTCACAAACTCACAATCTTTACGACCTTATAATATTAGTATAGATAACACAAGTTTAATTGAAACAAAAATGTTTATAAAAATATATATAAAACTGAGCTATATAAGGAACAATAATTCTACGTAAGCTGCCCCTAGAAAATATTTATTTCAAGAAATAAAATATTAAATATTAAAAGCTATAGGAATTTCCGCTGAAATGGATTATATCATTAACTGAATTGCCCTTATCCTGTTTCCCAGTTTGTAAAAGAGCTGCGGTTTGCAAAATTATATTAAACATTGAAATAAGAAAGACAATAATATTATGTTTTAATTGCACTTTACCCACAACGTGGTTTAAATTAACTGTGATAACGTTTTATTTAACCCCGTCACCGTTTATTGGAGCTTCCTTGCTCAGAGAAATGTGAAAATTGCTACAAGTTTCCTGAAGTACGTAAATTTATCGTTTATATGTAAATACGTAAACGAAATTGAAATAAGAGCAATTATATGTGAGGTAATTAAATAGTTTGCTGAACTGTAAAGCTTTATCCTGATTATTTTCATATTGCAATTATGTGAAAAGTGTTCGTATCCCGCATTATTTCTTCAAATACGTTTACAATCACAGTTTTTCTGTAATTTGGTTTAAGAGACAAAATTATATTAATATTATTTAAAATTTAAAAATAAATTATAATAGAAAACAACTCCTCAATTTTTAAATATAATTTCCATATAGGTAAATATTACATCATTACGTAAGTAGACCAAAAATACTACTACGTTCTTGTTAATAGATTAAAAATACACTACTCCATCCCTATATACGGATGCTTTATTTATTCATTTAGCCCTTTTTAATGTCACACTGCTGGGCACGGGCCTCTTTTCAATACGGATCAGGCCATAGTTTATATCGTAGCCGTATAAGACAATAGTCTCTATCATAGTGTATGAGGGTTGGCATCTTTCACCTCTTTCGAAAACTAGTTAGGATCTCTCATACATGCATGTTTCCTAACGATTTTTTCTTCACTGGTAGGCAAGTAGTAAACAATAAACATGTTGAAAATTAATTCGCACTTATATTTGACTAGCCACCACCCTCGGTTCGTCCCTAGCTTGATTACTCATACAAACTTTCATCCCCATTTCCACTCCCTTAAGGGATGATTTCCAGAATAAAAAGTTTCCTATGTCCTTTTCAGGCTCTCAAACTATATTTTTCCAAATTTCATTTAAATCGGTTCAGTAGATCCAGAGATTACCCCCTACAACGTCACAAACTCACAAACTTTACTATTATTTATAATATTAGTATAGATTGGCATTATAATACCGCAGGTGCGAGATTTACATGAATGTAAATCCACTGATCTACTACTGCCTTTTGGCCTAAAAGTTTCTCATTATCATTGTCAAATACCTCTTTAATCTTACTTCAATGAGCTATAATATCTTTTACGTTATACTCATTTAATGAATTATTATTTTATAATATTGTTGTGGAAATAATTATAGGACCGCATAAGCCACATAAGACCGTCCTTTTATAAATGTCTGACTTCATTTGACAGTATTTACATTATAATCACGTTGGTTTATGTAATCCTCTTAACCCATTCAAATTCCAGATTCGTTTGTGACTCTTGTCCTAAATTATTATGTGGAATTAAAAGAAAAGTTTACTAAAATATAACCTTTTTCATCGGCCTTAAAAAAGAAAGACGTATTCGGGTTTATAACTCAATACGTATTTTCGCCAATTAAACAGACTGTACATTTCTTTTTTACATGTATCGTTTTTATATTTTATGTAAATTGTGATGGAATTATTATTTTAATGTGAAAGTTTTAAAGTCGTTATATCTTATTGGATAAGAAATAATTTGAGATATCCATTTGTTACTTACTAGTAAAATGAATGTTTTAGTTAATAAAATGTTGTTCGAACGCTAACGCAAAAAAACTTAAAAGAATAAACCCCGTCTTCTAGACACTAAAAAGTAAAAAAAATAACTGAAAGCAGTGCAAGCAATGCAAAGCAAAGCAAATATATTATTTCGAATGTTTAAATTACAAATGGATGTTTAATATTTTAAACTATAATTTATTAAAGTTCCTACCTTATCATAGTTACCTATTTTAAAGCATTATCGGTGAACTTACATAAAAACAAACATACAGACGAATGTAGAACCTCATTTTTGGCAGTCGGTTAAAAATCGATAAGAGTACATTAGCTATCTACATAAATTTTAATTTTCTATTATACAATAGAAAATTAAAAATACAACTATACAGTTGTTTCTAATGATTGAAGTATTAATATTATTTCACACTTGTAATTATTTTGAATCACAATGCGTACTTGTTTCATTCATTATAAAAATATAAGTAATAAAACAATATATAAAATGTCGAATGCGAAATTGCATATGGGGAATATAGCACTTAGAATAAATGATATTAAATGAAAACTTAAAAAAATATCATTTTGTATATCTATTCAACATGATTTGAACGCGGTGGAGACGAGTCGGGTATTGTACATTCACAACACAGATTAAATCTCGCTCTAATTCCTCTTGAAGTTATTATAGTAGTTTTATATTCATCATACAAATAATTTAAAATTACCGATGCGATAATGTTAGCTAAAAGCGTTAAATAAAATATTTTTCTAACAGATTCAGGGCATGAATTGCCTGTTTTATAACAATTTTCAATTTTATAAGTATGTTATTTTTTTTAATGTCCCATTAATTATCTTCGAAATAAAAAATAACTCATTATAACTTAGCTTAGAAATAATTAATATGGTTGTTTTAATTTATAATTATTATTTACATGATATATAATATCTATACATCTATACTTATTATAAAAATAAAGTCCCCCGGCCGCGTCTTTCTGTCCTCCTGTCTGTCCTCCTGTCTGTCCTCCTGTCTGTCTGTACGCGATAAACTCGAAAACTACTGAACGGATTTTTATACGGTTTTCAACAATAGAAAGAGTAATTCTTGAGGAAGGTTTAGGTATATAATTTATTATGCTTTTATGTAAATTAGCTGAAATACGGCGACAAATGTTGAAGAGGTCGCAAAAAATCTCGCCAAATGGGAACTTTCCACGCGAACGCCGCGTAAACTAGCAAAGATACAGTTAAGTAATGTACTAGAGAATTCAAAATCTATAAAAATGCTACAAAAAAGTCCGCGATAGCATATCTCTATCTCTTACGGTTGACTTACAATAACCACTTTTATGTTAACATTTTTAATTAAAACATTACGTTATTTTCAAAGTTATTTTCTTTAGTTCGGTATTAATCCTTATCCAAATGAATATTTTAGTTAGCTTAGTCATTTAATGCAGATTAAAATTGCTCTTTACACTAAATCAATCAGATGAATAGTTTTTGAGATATCGTTGTTAGAAGTAATTAGTAGCGAAACATTTTTAATGCTTGGCGAGCATTGAGATGCCTACGGCGAGTCCATCCCCTCTGCCCCGCATCGCTCGACCGCCTGCTCAAGCTATATAAACCGGGCGATGTAGCGCGCGATCCTAGGATACTTTTTACCGCGGGAAAATATCTTATTTCTGAGGAAAAATACAAAAACTGCAATGTAAGAGTATACTAATATGTAACACCTAAGAATTTAGTTTTTGGTCATCTGAACGCGGGCGGAGCCGCGGGCAATGCTAGTATATTATAATTGTAACTAAGCCGAATCTGTACTTTAAATATTTTTTGAAAAATCTTATTGAAATAGACATTATTATCGATACAGAGGCCGAATCTATAGTTTTTAGAATACTTGATTGTCTGTCTGTATGTCTGTCTGTTACTGAAAAACCACCAGAGGGATTTTGATGAAATTTGGTATGGTGACAGCTGGTAATTCGAGTCAATATATAGGATGCTTTTTACCGCGGGAAAATGTCTAATTTCTGAGAAAAAATACAAAAACTGCAATGTAAGTATACTAATATGTAAAACCTAAGAATTTGGTTTTGGTCATCTGAACGCGGGCGGGAATAAAATAAGTAAATCAAAGCAATACACAAAATTTGTGAAACTAATATTCTTGTACAGGTTTATTCGAGTATTCTCATATGGAATTTAATGCGGAACGTGGCGGGGTATTAGATACAGAAGAAGGCGCTGCGTCAGGCACAGTCGTAAAGGCAGATGATCCCTCGTTAGCTGATATGACGCGGGCAGCTTTAGCAGTATTAACGAAGAATGACAAAGGATTCTTTCTTTTGCTAGAAGGTATGTGTTTATAATTTCTATATCGTGAATTAATAACAATATTAAGAGTAGATACTAGAATTCTAATAGTGGTCGAATTTTCACTGTAATCATTATATAAAAAAAATACCTGTTTGCAATTTTTTTTTATTGATTTTATAAACACGAAAATCGGTTAACAAATAGAGGAGGAAAGAAACCGTTTTGTCTTTGCCTATTTATAATTATGTTCCGAATGCGTTTTTACAATTTACAAAAAATATAATCAATGTTTAACGTTCTATATCAATAATAATGTTCATTACTAACTTATATTAACGTGTTTATAGTTTCTGAAATCCTGAAAATTTCTAGTATATCTATTTTAATTCTGTATTTATATTAGTTTAAATTAGTTTTAATAACGTAAAGGTAGATACCGAAGTTGTTTTTTTGAAATTTTATTATGATACTAGTGACCCACCCTCTCTTCGGTGGGGTTCGTCCCTAGGTACATTTTAACGGTTATTATGAAATAGGTAGACTATATATTGATTTGATATAAAGCCTATATAATATATAGCCTTTCTCAATAAACGGACTATCTAGTGCAAAAGGAATTTTTAAATCTAATAAGATCTACTAATAAGTAGTTCGAAGTTCCTGAGATTACTGCGTTCAAGCAAACAAACAAACAAACGAACAAACAAACGAACAAACAAACAAACTCTCCCTCTTTATAATAGTAGTACCTATAGATTATATTTTATAGTTATTTAAAATTAGATTATACAGACAAGAGTGATTTATGTATTTTTGTAGGTGGCAGAATAGATCATGCTCATCATTATAATAATCCTTATCGAGCTCTTGACGAGACTTTAGAGCTCGAGACTGCGTTGTTAGCAGCACTGGAGAAAGTTAATCCAGCTGAAACTTTAATAGTTGTGACAGCAGATCATGGACATGTTATGACTTTTGGTGGACAGGCTACTCCTAGGGGACACCCTATATTAGGTATGTATATACTCATTAATACTATACTAGTAAATCGACCTTGCTTTGCCTCTGGTTTATTTTATCCAACTCATCGAGATTTCATGGCAAGCGGAAGATTAAAGTACGTGTTACTTACAAAAAAAAATATATAAACTCATATCAAATTGAATATCTAGCAAAAAAGTTGTCCTTGAGGCTATTTTTATCCGATACTTTGACAGTTTATACAATAGGACATAAAAGGCTTTATGAGCTAAAATTGATAAGCCAGATCACATTTTTTGATAATTTCCATCATTTCTCAGGAAATAGTCTAAATTCTATCTTAACTTATTTTATTCAATAATTTCGATATCTTTTACGGTAGGTATATGTAAAATTTAAATATGGCCACCGCAAATTAAAAAGTCGTATTTTAATATTTAATATTACTCTGTACCTACTCATTTTATTTTCGTAAAACGGAAGCTTTACAGTACAATAGATATAATCAATTGCTATATCCTAAAGGTGCAGATACAGTGGTATCTGATATAGACGGTTTGCGATACACTACATTGCTATATGGGACCGGCCCGGGGCACTCTGAGCCTCGCGCGCTGCCTCTAAACGGTACGACTACGCCCGCTGATGCCGTTCATGCAGCTGCAGTTCCACGTCAATGGGCAACCCATGGGGGAGAGGACGTGCCTATTTATGCTTTAGGTGAGTTTGGTTATTAATATAATATATAATTTATACACTACGATTTTTATATCTAATGTTTTAAAGGATATTGAAATTATATTTTAAAATGTATATACCTATATATATTATTTATTGCACAAAGTAGTCACAACTTTATAAGAGATCTCTTCCAGCCAACCCATGTATGTGGGAAATAGTGTTAAGTAGCGGGACAGAAAGAGAAAGTGCAGAGAAAAATTGCAAAGTAATAAAAACATTAAAATTTATATATATATATATATATATATATATATATATATATATATATATATATATACTTTAAATATATATAGATTGGCCGCCGTAGCCGGAATCGGCTAGGAGAACATCATCAACATCATATATATATATATATATATATATATATATATATATATATCATATGTATACATGACATACATATGTACATGATTGCTAAACAGAAAAATATATAAGTAGTTCAAGAATGCCTAATCAAAATATTCAACTGTTTTTAAAAAAACCTTCCTTTGCCTAAGACTTGAAAAAAAGTAAAATATATATATATGATAAAGTATCATCATATATCATGATAAAGCAATGTTGATATATTGAAATATTTCATTTAAAATACGTAATAATACTTATAAGGAGAACATAGTACCTACATACATTATACATACATGTATACCTACTGTGAGTAATATATGTATATCACTTGTTAAATCAGTTGGGTCTACTTCTATTTAGAATATGAATTATTTAAAAATGTACAATATTTCCAAGTAAAGTTTATTTAATACAAACAGCAAGTTGTCAGAAAAGTTTTAATGCCGGTTATTCATACGTATAAATATTATAACATACGAGTTTCTCGAGTTAACGAATATAGTTGTAGAATAACTTTATAATCAATTATCTAAAAGCAATTTTATACTTGCATATAATAGGACATTTTATACACAGCAACATCTAGTTCCATGGTATATAATATATATAATGCATATATATATATATATATACATAACATTAAATACATACAGATTATAAATATAAACACCCATGACTGCAGTACAAACATTCGTGTTCATCATACAAATGAATGCCCCCAGCGGAACTCGAACCCGCGACCGCTGGCACAGCATGTAGGGTCACTACACTCAGTTTATATAACCAAACCAAACGTATTGTCAAATATGTAATAACTATGTTTAATATTATGTGAATCGGTCAATTATATATAATTCTACTTTCTGTTTGAAACTTCATATCTCTATGGTGTAAAATTAATTAGGACACTTGTATGCAATTTTGTATATAATTTCTTTCATTCAGCCTCAAATAATTATAATAAATAATGGTGAAACTTTTAGATAATGGACTGATAGTTTTCATTTACTATAGATACCTATTACCTAATCAAATTATCGAAGTTGATTTGATTTTTTGATATCGAAGTGCTTTAATTTGTTTCTATAGTAAATGAAAAGTACCAATCAGTTATTTTTTACTTTTTAGTGTTTTTAAGTCGTTTTATTTCTTATAAAGTTTTTAAACAATGTCATAGATGACAGAAATGATAAAACCACATAACAAGAACCATGTGAATTCTTTTTTGTATATAACATTTTTTTCATAACTTGACTGATAGGTGAGTATAGTGTAGAATTAAAAAAAAATATTTGACTATGGACTTCAGTATTTCGTTGAAATGTTTTTAACGAATTTTCTGTTTACTTGATGCTCTTTTAAAATTCCTACTTGTTTTCAACATCCACTTCTAGCTATATTCGTAATAAAAATACCCCATATTTTTACTAAAGTATCTCGATTACGACGGCAATACTAAACTTATAGTGTAAGCATTCAATAAAAGTCTTTAGAACTGATCGTTTAAAAATTCTGTTATGTTCATTGTATGTCCTTTACAAAGTAGGTCAGATGAAGTGTCAAGAGTTACGCTTCAGGCGTACTTCTTTCATTTCTACTAAAGTCATCATTCTCTGCAAGCACCCTTTTAAAAGCTTTAAGAATTTATCAAACACAGATTTTGGGGAAACTTACCTTCTATTTTACAGAAAACAGCTATTTAGAACGTACATACAGAATGTATAACATTTACCGGTTTATTTTATGTTTAGGTCCTATGGCAACGATTTTATTTGCTGGCGTGGTGGAACAAAGTTATATACCACATGCTATCGCTTATGCAGCGTGTCTCGCTCACCAAGCGCGACGTTGTCAGGAATCTGTGTTCAATTTTACAAAACCACAGGTATGTTAAAAGGTGTTTGCACATTATCTTTTCATGTCGTCGATTTTGAACATTGCATATTCTTTTACATTACAATAGAATAATGGAATGAAAAATAAAATTCACGTGTTATTACCTAGTTCTATTTAAAATAGTTGAGTAGTTCTAGAAAGAGTATTCGTATCGTGGAATACTATTAAAAGCGAAAGTCATAACTAGTGACTGTGAGATAAAATAAGCACCAAGTTGTATTAATAGCTATTTAGTTAATGTTTCGAAAGATGTAGTTCTTTAAAATACATATCACGTCTTAACTTATAATTACCTATTAGATACACCGACTTCATTAAAAGAACCCCACTCTTGTGTAGTGGTCGATTTTTTTAATTATATGAATGACCTCATATGAAATAAAAAAAGTACATAAAATCAGTTCATAAAAAAGAATTATTAAAAGAAAATCTATGTACATTGATGATTGGCAAATTAATCGCGTAACAAACAAAAACAAATACCCGTCTTCTTTTTTATGAAGTCGGAGAAAAATCTAAAAAAGGTAAATTAAGACTATTATTATTTATATTATTATTATAAGTAGTGTCATCCGACGATTAAACTTGTTACCTCCAGTATATACAGTATACCTACATCATGTACATAATAACGACACCGCATAGATATATGCACAATATATGTGTATATATTACTTATGTACATTGTATGTACATACATATAAATGTACATTGTATGTACACATCTAAAAATAATGGTTTGGTTTCAGATAAAAATACCAAATTGCGTTCCACCAGAAGTAAGTAGTGTGTCAGCACCAGATGAGACCAGGAATGAAGCAGCTAGCGGACGTCGAATCGTAGTGGCATCAAGTGTTATGTCAGACGAACGAGTCCCTCGATCCTCATCTTCTTTTCCCGCTCCGCTTGTGAATACATGCTACATTATTTTAATAAGCGTTGCACTTAATTGGTTTATTAACAACAATATTTGATGTCATTTGTATTTCCAAATTATTATGTACAGGGATCATTGATAGATGGCACTAATATGTAAATATTGTATTTGATAAATGTAAATAAATACAAATAATTCATTAAAGAGTTTTTTATTTTTATTAATCGTTAACACATTTATAAGCAACAAAAGTTATTTTTTTTTAAAAATGCTTAAATATTTAATTATTATTAAACTCTAGAGTTATATGGAATTAGCAGAACCCGCAGCTGCGCTCGCGCTAAAACTACAAAAAATATCTAAAAAGGTAGTTTCATACAAATTGAATCCCCTATTTTACTCCCTGATAGAATGAATTTCGAAAAATTCTAAAACACGTATTAATTTAATTTTGTTGAAGAGCATTAATACAAAGTTTCAAGTAATTTTGATCATAAATTTTTTTTTGGATTGTATTATAACGTGTTTTCCCGTGGGAATTAGATAATTTCCCCCAGTAAAAAGTAGCCTATGTCACTTTCCAGCCCTCCAACTATCTCCATACAAAAAATCACACCAATCCGTCTATCCGTTTCGACGTGAAAGAAGGACAAACAAACAAACACACTTTCACATTTATAATAATAACACCTCCAGGTAATTTTCTAAGAAATTAATTAAATTTCTAAGAAATCTATTGTTAAATGTAACGCCGGCGTGTACGCGGTCGTGGAGGGATTAAGTTCACATTTATAATATTAGTATGGATTCCCTACCTACCAAAGAAAATTTAATTCTTACAACACATGGAAATTTTTAAGTAATAATAAAATATGTTACGCGTAACGTTTAAACACTCAACAAGAATTCGTGTATCATCAATTCGTGTTGAATGAGGATTCCCAGCGCCGAATCGAATCGAAATTCGATTTCACAAACTAAATCAAGTATAACCGCAATAATATGATAAACTAGTAACTATTTACTACCTAATTAAGTTGATAACATCAACTGATATATTGAAAATTGTCACACTAGATAAAGGGTCTTAAAGCAGCATATTCAGTGTATTACATAATTATTCATCTTTATACATAACTCATATGCCAGTGTGTTAGTGATGTCGAATTAGCACAGAAATGTAGAATATGTAAAAAAATATTATTTCATATTAGGACTATGTAAACGTGACCTTTTTACAAACAGCAATCTCGTTCTATCTATATCTATAGACGAATAAGAGAAAGTACATAATATTATGTACCTATAGGTATGTAAAAACAAGCATAACCATCGATATTTCGCTCAAAATATAAGTTAGTAAAAGTGGCAAGAAGAGCACTTAGTGCTTGAAGGTGACAGCTGGTCACTTTATAATAAAGGAGAAAAATGCAAAAAAAATTTTTACTTCAATAAATTATAGACAATATAATACTTTCTTAGATTTACGCGAATATTTGACATTTTAAATAAAACTATCTTTTCGGATTTTGTCGCGGATTTATTTGCATTTTTGTTTCCCGACGTTTCGAATGCTTTACAGCATCCATGGTCACGGGAGAGACTGAGGTGTTACATGTCTTGGAGGTATAGTTGTTACAGACAGCCTACCCACAATTAACAAAATGAAAATTGCACCAAAAACATTACAATATTTTTTAACTTTAAACATTTTGATAATTTTGATTATAATTGAATATGGAATATTATTTATTCAATTTTTGCTATTATTTTTATAATTATTACAATTTTAAAATATTAATTAGTAATATATATTTAGTGTTGCCATAATTATATTTATAACCATAAAGAAAAATATAAAATATAGTATTAATTATTTAAGCCATATAATTGTTCTATGTGTAATTTAAAAAATTAAAGTTAATTTAGGATAATTATTTTAATTTAGTTTGCTATTATTTAAAAACAACTTACTAAGCAACACTATTACTATATACTTTTACAAATGAAAAATGAAAAATATTAATCTGATAAGCTGTCATTTTGATTAACACAGTAAGAACTTAAGTACATCTACCTGTCTGTTATGTTTATATTTATTATTTGATTTTATTATATTAATAACAGGATCCCATGACGATGGTAGTACCCAGCCATCTTCCCTATTGAAATTTGGATGTTTTTTAATTTCTATGGCTTCTCGAATCATTCTAGGGCGATATCGGTTTTCTTTCGCCAGGATTTGAGGTCTATCAAAGCGAATATAATGGCTTGGGCGGTCCTGGCTATGTTTGCAGACAGCAGATGTTGTATGGCGACGGTGCTTCACATCAGCTATGTGTTCTTTGACCCGGGTTCTAATGGATCGCTTTGTTTGTCCGATGTAAGAGAGCCCACAATCACAATCAAGCTTGTAAACTCCTGCATCTTGTAGAGGGATGTGGCACTTGACAGGTGGTTAGTGGTTATTTAAAATTAGTTAATGAAATAATTAATTGCCGTAATCTAACGTTATTTCGCATGAAAAAACGGCTGTAATTTACATAACTGCGTAGCACTTTACACCGACACCGTAGAATATAATATACCAATTAGAATCATGCAGGAATAACGGAAACAAAGAAAACGTGAGTGAGTGTAGTACTCAACAAGATTGGATGCGGAGATAACAGACTACAATAATATCACGTAAGTACTAAACCAGCTAATATTCGGCTGAAGTTCACCTTTTCTTAATAAAATAAGATATAGGCACAGCTCGTAATGACAAACGTTGCAAAATTAGACATAATATATATATTATAATCCTTTCATTGAGAACTGCAGAATCTTTGTTTGCTAAGTAATAATTAATCAGCACTGGATGGCTGGATTTCTCATACGAGTAGCATCTAAAAAAGGCTAATTAATTAATTAATTATTATCAGTGATTATTATACTTCTAAATTGTATGCCGTTAAAATTTAATACGTAACTAGCGGCTCACCCCCGCTTCGCTCGGGTTCGTCGCTAGGTACGTTTTAAATAGATATAAATAGTTATTAGCCAGTGTTTTTAGCCATATAAATATATTTTTTTCGTTAATTTTTCTGACGTTTTAATACTTAGGTATTAACCTATTCCGGAATGAGAGAAATCCAAAAATTCAAATATCATAAAAATTGGTCCAGCCGTTCTTGAGTCTTGTATACGGGAACGCAGCCGAACGGGCTAAAAAGTATCCTATGTCTGTCTCCTGGTTCTAAGCTACCTCCCCACCAAGTTTCAGCCAAATCGGTTCAGCCGTTCTTGAATTATAAATAGTGTAACTAACACGACTTTCTTTTATATATATAGATATGGTAATTCTGATAACGTAATATTTGTTTTGTCTAGAAAGAGTCATGTTCCAAATAACAGACATTACGTGTAAACTGGTTATAATTTTATTTCTATTTTTCCCGTCATGCACATGTACATACTCTATGTATACGATCAATTTATAGATACTTACATATCTATACATACAAATAAATAAAATTAAAGTGTCTTTTTGTAATGTCAAAATAACAGCCTCCCAAGGAAAATCCTCATAAGGAAAAGACATATTTTAAAATGTTTGTCTGTCTGTCTGTCTTTTTGTTCCGGCTAACCTCCGAAACAGGTGGATTTTGCCGAGACTTTCACTGGCAAATAGTCATAGCTGTTGTTATAAGGAGTAACTTAGGCTCCTTTTATTTTAGAAAAAGAATTAGGGTTCCGCGCAAAAAATTAAAACCCATGAAATTATGAACAAAATCCACGTACCTGACACACCCGAGCGAACCGAGGGAAAATCGCTAGTTACACATAAAAACATACAAAGTTTTTACTCAGTTATTACCATACTCAGTTACAACCACATTCATACTTTATGTGTTATATGAACATTAAATTGTAATTGTTGTAATCCAATAATACAAAATTGCAGCTTATTTTTAGATTGCAAAGTAAATCTTTTTTCAGGCTATAATGGTTTTATACGCAATATGATGTCCAATTATCTGCAATGAAAAATAGGATGCTGAATATTATTTCACAAGTGGTTTTTTTAAATAAAGTTGGTTTCGGTCTTTTATATTATCTATTATTTTTAGTTATGATAAACGCTTGTCAAAAGCTATTGGGAAAAAAAGAAAAGCTACTGAACTGCTTTGTCTTTGTCTATTTATATACGAGTACATATAGATACTTATTATGTACGGTCCAATGAAATAATGATTTTTGAACATAAAATAATCTCTTCAAAACATATTATGTGTCCGTAGTATTTCCCTCATCTCTGTAGTGCTTACTGGTGTTGATCCTCTCTTTAGAAATACCTTAGCTTCGCTTGAGAACAATACTCTACATCGGTGCTCTGAGTTCACGTCACTCAAACTAGAGAGAAGTTAAATCTAGCAACATTGTTCATGAACTAGTTTAGAATCGTGCGCTAATTTGTGAAAATTTGCGATTCTTTAACTAAGTAACTTTCGAATGAATGCTGAAACGGCGCCCGCGTTTTTTAACCCCCGACGCAAAAAGAGAGATGCTATAAGTTTGACGTCGATGTCTGTCTGTGTGTATGTCTGTCGGTGGCATTGTAGGTCTCAAGCGGATGGACCGATTTCAATGCGGTTTTTTTATTTGAAAGCCAGTTTAAGTCCAGCAGTGTAAGAGTATCAGCTCTTTTCCAAAATGATGTAGGTAAGGAATTTTGGCGTATGATTACTCGATTAAGAATCGTTAAATGACGATTAATTTGCGTAGGGGGTTTTTTGAATTATTAATTTCATAACTACTCCTTCTCCTACTTCTTATTCTCATAACTCTCCTTTCGGCGAAGAGTATTGAACAAGACTATAGAACTAAGAGTATAGAATAGATTCAACCGTACAACTGTCCTGAAGCAGCGTTATTTTATCAACCATTGTATTGGCAGCTAAATAATAGTTTTAAAACAACAGTAAAAGAAAAATAAAACAATCCTGTAATAATAGCTAAAAAGCGATCGAGATTTAGTAAGACTTGATAAAGTAAATATTAACTTTATCCGTAAAAAGCCTTCTGCGTAGGTTATAAATGGAAATATAA